TTTTGAAGTAATCGAAGTCTCAATCTGCAAATGATATCATATGGTAAAATGTTATATCCTAGAGTACGGAAGCTTGGACTGTTGAACAAACAGACAATTTTAAGGAAATCAGAAGATAGAGATGAATTTGCAATGGTTATGACCAACCTTCATTAGTGGAGTCGGCATTAGAAGACTAACTTTGATATTTTTTATGTCACGCGCTTGTAGTAGGCTCACCGTAAAGATGTCGAAAAAACACAATCTTAAAAAAGAACCTTCTATAAATCCTTCTTAAACTCATATTACTGCCACGTTAAAGTGGAGAGCACGCGCTTGAAAACTTTGCAATATCTAGCCTTCTATGATACGCAGAACATTCATTTTATTTGAAACTGGGATAGCTCATAAAATAATAAGAACCAGGCGACTCTCACCTCCCGAAAAAATCGGAAAATCTCGGAAAAATAAATAAAAAAAATTTCCATAAAAAATTTATTGAAAAGATAAAAAAAGCACTCATACGAGCTCTACACACCATTTTAAATCACCATGAAGATTTCATAGTTCATTATATCGATGATTTATTAATTTTTTCACAAGATATACAGAGTCATTTGGAACACATAAAAATAATTCTGGAGGAATTAGACACAGCAGGATTAAAATTGAACATTGAAAAATGTCAATTTTTTCAAAAGGAAGTCATTTATTTGGGTTTTAAACTGGATACCAAAACAGCAAGCTTAGCCGAAGATAGAATCAAGCTCATAGATGAATACCCAAGGCCAACAAATCTGAAAATATTGAGAGGTTTTCTTGGCACGATTAATTATTTTAAGAAGCTAATTCCCGATTTAAGCCAAAAGGAGATCCCTTTAATAAAATTGCTGAAAAAAGGTATAAAATGGAATTGGAAAGAAGAAAGGAGGAAGTTTTCAAATTATTGAAACAAAAATTCGCAAAAAGAACGAAAATATATCACCCCATTTACAATTTACCTTTTATACTCCGTATTGATGCGTCCATACAAAAATTTGCAGGAGTCTTGTCTCAAATACAAAACGACCAAGAGGTGCCGATATGTTTTATATCTCGAGTGACTAAAACACATGAGAGAAAATATAGTGTAACAGAATTGGAGTTTGCCAGTGTACTATTTTGCCTAAACAAATTAAGGTTTTATTTATTGGGAGCTAAGAATCGATTGGTGAATAATCGAATACATAGAGGCATTCTGTTATTACAGGAGTATGATTTTGTGTTCCGATATATCAAAGGAAAAGACAACATAATAGCCGACGCTCTAACACGGGATGAAGACACCGGAAAAAAGGAAGCAATTACTCTCCATGTGGGACTAAACATATTAAAACAAGAAGAAGGGATATATTCGTTAAATGAGATAAGGTCGAACCAGGAAGACCTAGAAGAAAGAGAAAAAAAGAAGAGCGGAGCGAGAACATGACATTTTCTTTAAGAGGATAGACGGAAAGGAACTATATTTAGTAACACAGACATTGGCAAAAAAGATCATAAAGAAACTACATGAGGAAAATGGACATATCGGAAGCAGAAATGTTTCACAGATATCACACAGAAATGCGAAGTATGCCAAAAATATAAGAGTAGGAATTTCAAAAACGAAAATATTGCAAAGAATATTGTATCCCGGAACAAATTGGACATTGTAGCAATAGATATGTTAAGCGATCTAATTATGAATACGTAGAGGAACAAACATATTCTGGTGATTGTGGATGTGTTTTCAAAATACTTAAAATTGTACAGTTGCCGTACCACAAAGGGGGAAGAAATCTTAGGAAAAATAGACAATCTTATAACCACAGTAGGTACACCAAGAAAAATTCTACTAGACAATGCAATGTATTTCCGAAATGATCGATTCAAGGGACAACTTCGAGAACGGGGAATAGAAACAAGTTTTGTAAGCATCAGGCATCCCCAAAGTAATCGTTCGGAGCGATTTTACAGGAAGTAACGAAATTTCTTCGCATTGGTAACGGATGGTCAACATCGACGCTGGGACAGAAAAATGGCAGAAATAGAAGTGTATCTAAATACCATGCCGAGTACAGTAACAAAGGAGACCCCAGAATACATCATGAAAGGTGTAATGCCGATAAGGCCATGGGAAGACCCAGAGCCAAGAGAATATTAACAGATAGTAGAAACTGTACAGAGGAGATTACGGCGAAGCAATGGGAAGTATATCCAGAGACAGGATCATAATAGAAAACGAAGACCAGTGACGTTCCAAAAGGGTGAAAAAGAGCTTGTAAGGGCGTTACGAGTATCAAATCTTCCTGGCGGCATTTGCACAAAATTGATGCCTGTTTTCGAAGGTCCGTACATAGTGAATAATGAAGATGGGATAAACAGTTATGAATGGAAGCATATGAACTCTTGAAAGGATCCGAGAAATTTATAATATTCACGATGTATACAAATATCACGAAAAAAGGACAGAACTGTATAAAGTAGATAGTAGATTAGAGTATAAGACGTAGATTAAGAGAAGGCAGTATACAGGGATATTGGTTTGCCTCGAGAAAAATTAGGTACAGATGCGGATAATTTTTATCGATTACAAAGGTGGGGATTTGCTATAGTTTTTAAATTGATATGAGAAGTTAGAAGCCTATATTAATAATTTTTAAATAATAACTTTTATATTTCTCAACCACGAGCATATAAGTTTTTGAACAACCTGTATAAGACAAAATTGTGTACAAACGATTATATTTAGTTTTAAGAAAATTTATTTGGGAATTGTGTATTAACCCCAGAAACAGTAAATTCCACATTAGAGAATAGGTAATTTAGATAAGAAAGTTGTTGTTTGAACTAAGTACCCAAAGCCGAGGCCGAGGGTAAATCTATGTAACAAAGGAATTGATTATTGACTTTTCAAGAAATACAGTTAATAGACATTATCGGTAGTTAAATTATACCTGGATATTATTATTTGTAAAGATAGAAAAAATACGTTTGATGTTTAGATTAGGATTAGGATAGCTGGAAATTTTGTTTTTTTTTTTGAAATCCCTAATGGCATTTTTGAAAAGAGATAATAGTTTGGTAGAAAAATACGTCATGACTGAAAGTTATTGTGATTGGCTAAAATGGTAAAGAGAAAAGGGAAGGACTGGAGAAGGAGTGAGAATTAATGAGAAGAAAAGGCAGTCTGTTTTGTTCGATTGAAAGGGATAGTCCTGTTTGGTGGTTAGTGTACGAAAAAAGGAAATTGCCGGTTTTTGTTTGTCCAAAAGTGACAAGTGTGAGAAAATTGGAACGAAGAATTAGGTCAAGTTGAGAGATAATAAAACTTCTTGAATCTAAAGCATACAGGACTCGTTAAGTACTGTAAAAGGCGGGAATACTGCAGTAGGAGAAAGCCGAAACGAGTGCAGGTACGAGGCATAGCAGGAAAAGGAAAACGAGGTGACAGCAAGCAGGGACATATTTGGGAAACGTGGACAAGTTTCCTTGGATCGCAACAGCAGCAAGTACGGAGAATTGTTTTTGGTATGAGGACATTTTCGAAGCTACAGTGAAAAGGTCAGTCTTTATTTATGACAGAAGTGAATGGTTTTGCGTATTAAATACCACAGTGCATATTTAAATAAATATTTCAATATTATAAATTTTTTTTTTAATCTCAAGAAAAAGTCATCATTTAGACATCATTATAATTTCTTTTATCCGTAATATTGATAAATATTAATATTTCATATCAAACTAATTTGGGCCAAAAAAGAAAGCAAGATTCGTAGTTTTAATATTGGTTGCATACAATAAAAGGTAAAGGAGTCATTGATAAATCTTAGATGATTGAACATTTAATACAAATTGATAAAATAAACGAATTTTGTTATTTCAACTTTGAAATTCCTGTGTATTATTTATGTCGTTTTTACCTAACCTTTTATTAGGAAGCCACTAAGAAATCTTTTTTGAACCTACGAAACAAAGTAAGTACTAAAATTATTAATTAGCCCTGAGATGTATAATTTATAAATTTTTTGTGTTGATTTTGATTAATTAGATTGTTAGTAAATTAATTAATTGGAGTAAATTATTTTCACAAGTAAAAATAGAGTCAAAAATTTATATATATATATACATACATATATATATATATATATATATATATATATATATATATATATATATATATATATATATATATGTATATATATATATATATATATATATATATATATATATATGTATATATATACATTATATATATATATATATATATATATATATATATATATAATGGAGGTAAAGATTGAAGGAAGATAGAAGAGGTACTGTGAGAGACTGGACTGGTTTAAATTCATAATCCGTTTTAGGCATCGCTCAAAACTAGGAATGATTAGCCAAAATTGTAGCCAATCTTCTGTGAAGGATACAGGTGTCCACATTGTATAACAGTGTGAAGAAAATGTCACATTTCATTGAGATTTTTTCTTTTTTCTAAAAATATCAACTATTCTAGCTCTTACATTAGTTTCTTATTCTAAATTAGGTTTAACTAGCTTAGCCTAGCTAACCACTTAATACATCAAAGTCTTAGCGTGGTGTGATTTTGCAAACATGGACGAAAATAGAGTTGACAGCAGTGATTTTCGTTTAAAAGATTCTCAACACCAAACCAAATTGTACTAAAGGCAGATTAAAGACTATTGGAATCAGCTACTTCATTTTCAATGATAATAACTGGGTAACCGAATTTAAGCATGGTACTATGAGCACAAATGATGAACCGTGGTACCTTGATTTTTAATCTGTTTATTTCTCTTTTTTCATAAACCAATGCACATTGAACACTAGTAGAGTCTTTATAATTAATCAGCAAATGCAACTAACTAATAAAACCAACCACCATACGGTTTTTCTAGGAGTTTTTCACCACAAAAATATGGAATGGCCAAAGCAAACGTTGTTTTAGAAAGCACAAACTATGTTAAACGGAATAAAATAAATCTTACCTGCTTCGTCCGCCTCTCCATTAGGAACTACTTCAGGAGATGGTAGAGATTCAGGCGGCGAAAGAGGAGTGGAAGGAAACTCTTCGGATATAATTGGTTGTGGCAAACTATCAAAACTGTAGAATTGAGCTACGTCGTGAATGGGTTCGCCGGAAAAATATTCGTCTAGAACCAATTTGCTGGTCTAAAAATAATAATGTACACTTAACCGATAAGGAAAAATAAAGTAAAACCAAAAAAACCAAAGTATACAAATGAATTATAAAATATAATCAGTATCGTATTAAGACCACATTTCTTAGTACTCACCCTCACTGCATCCAAATTATTTCCGGTAATTTTAATGCTGCACCCGTTAGCGTTGACAGTATAAATATATTCGCCAAGGTTGGCGTCGTTTACACTCAAACTGTGTATCAAAGTACGAGGCGCTCGAGCGGAAGACGGTAAAGCGCTGTCGTCGGAAGCTGAAGAGTTTATGCTCGAGCTGGAACCAGTTAGAGGACCTCCACTTACGGAAATCGAAGAATCTCTTACCGGAGAAGCGTTTCTTCTGATAGTGTCCTCAATTAACTGCTTGGCGTGGCTACAAACGATATTAAATAGTTATATTAGTTATATACGACAGAGATAATCGAAAATATCGCAAACTAATTGTCCACTGAAAAGTTACAAGAACTGTAAAATGATGGGCATTGGATTATAATGTATACGCTGTGTTTTGACTTAGAAGACAAGTATATAATAAGAAGCTCCTTGTTCATTGCAAAATGGATGGACGTAACAATTTTTTCAGAAATGTCATATTTTAAAAACATCGTTTAGAGGTACGTGTATTTGACTAGTGCAGATTTTCTCTTTTATGGTAGTAAGTAATAAACTTTTATCACCTATTTTGAAATTGACTAAAACGTATTTAAACAATTTGATTGGTTGCTTTTTAATTTATCAATTTCAGAAATCATTGTACAGTAGAGTATCGACCATTATAAATCTATTTCGCCAGTTAGATCTATTCATTTCCAACCGTTGCCAGTTGGCTGCATCTATTTTTCTAGCTTCTTCGTCTACACTATCCTTCCATCTAAGTTTTGGCCCACCTCTCTTTCTACTTCCCCTAGAGTATGACATAAGGATTCGTCTAGGGTGATGTTCCGATATGATCTTGCTACATGTCCTCTTTCTTAGTCTTTCTATTTTTATGAGAGACCACTTTTTACCACCAAATATCTGTTTGTATCAGTGGCATATCTCATAGTTGTACCTCCTCCTTCAAATATCGTTTCGCAGATGGTAACGCTTATTTCTCTCAGGATCATCAGTTCAAATATGAGCAGAAGGTTTTCACCTACCTTGTAGATAATCCATATTTCCGATCCTTATGTCATGACTGGTAGTACAATCGTTTTCATATTGTTATTTTTATTTACTGGTTTATGTTTCTACTTTTTATGCGTTTACTCAACCTAAAATAGCACTTGTTTGTTAGAATTATCCTTTGTTTGATTCTTTCTATTATTAATAATATCAACACGGAGAAAAATATTTACAATAGTTTTTTATTTCACTTTTTCTTGATTTGTTAATATTTTCAAGTTTTTTTTTGCCTTCTTTCTAAATTTTGGACTTTCTCCTTTTGCTTTTTTCACGTGTGAATGATACAATATATTTTTTATTATTGCTCTAATGGTTTATCTTTGATTAATACTATAAAATATAAAGTAACTTAGCCAATGCCTTATTGCATTATGTCCAGTTATAGATAGATGTCCTCCACTTAAAAATATTATGCTTATAGTTGGTCCTTTTTCTTTTATGGAAGCATAACTTTCTTATCGTGGCCAACGGACAGAGCGGTGGATCGCACAGAGGTGTAAAAAAAATAAAAACAAAAGAAACGGCAGATCGTGCGACCACACACTACGTGGAGTAGTTAATTCATAGTACAAGATACCACAGCAGGAGCACTACGTTTATAACATAGGTAATCAAATACACATTTTTGCATACATTTATAATAGGGTGCCAGTCAGAAAGTGACTATATATGTGCAAATATATTTAATTCAATTAATAGTAATTAATTTTTGAACAAAAATATGATTTCGTTACATTATTTTTTAAATAAAATACGCTGCTCATAATGTATGTGCGTGATTTTTTTATATCAAATTAAAGCTAATAAGTTTTTTTAATATGATGATATAAGATTGTCTGAGAAAAAATGGTCGCAAATTAGGGTTTGCAGGTGTTAAAACGCGAGGTATCAAAGAAAAGTAAAATAGAGTTAGCGCGCAACGACACTTGTTTGACTAAAGTGGTAGTATGTATATTGTTATATATCTATCGATACATGCTTTAAAAACGCATACAACTGACAATTCAAACCAGTAACGTTGCGAACTAACTATCTGTCTTTTACTTTATCTTTGATACCTTGCATTTTTAACAGCTGACATCTACAATTTGCGATTAGTTTTTCTCGGACAATCTTATATCATATTAAAAAAAACAGCTTTAATTTGATATAAAAATCATGCATATAAGTCATGAGCAGCGTATTTTATTTAAAAAATAAAAGAACGAAATAAAATTTTTGCTCAGAAATGAATTACTATTGATTGAATTAAAAATATTTGCGGCCACTTTATAACTGGCAACCTATTATCAATGTATTCTCCTAATTTTAAATGTATATAAAAATGTGAGTTTTATTAACTAAGTTATGAACGTAGTGATCTTGCAATGAGATTTTAGAGTATCAGTCCCACGCGTATTTCTTACCAAAATAAAATAAAATAAAGTAAAAGAAAATTACAATAAAATATATTGAATCGAATAGAATGTAATTGAATGGGATCGAACTGAATGGAATTGAACGAGATCGAATGGACTCAAATCGAATCAAATGGAATCGATTCGAATGGAATGGGATCGACTCGAATGGCATCGAATCGAATCTAACAGGATCGAATGGAACCAAATATAATCGAATGGAAACGAATGGAATTCGAATCGAACTGTATCTAATGGAATCGAATTAAACAAAATCGAATTAAATCGAATTTAATTTAATTGAATTGAGTCGAATTCACACAATTGAGACAATTCATAGTTATGAAATGCTTCGTAATGTTGATAAAATAAAAGAACTGCAGGAACGTGAGACAGCTTAACAAGCCACCCGATAGGACAATACTGTATTATAGTTATTCTATAATAAGAATTCGAGAAATTTCAGTTATATTTGCAGTTTTATCATCGAAAAAAAAAAAAAAAAAAAAATTACGAAGAAACAGAAAAAATATAGAGAAAAAACCTATTTAAAATATATCACAATATTTTAAATTTATAAAATGGTTCTTTCGGTAACTTACTTAATGCTTTCCTCGTTGGCTCCTGTGATTTGAACCAATCTTTCTTTGGCTCCGGGATTAACTACAAAATCGATAATAATTGATATAAAAAATGATAAATCACATTAGAGAATGCGTTTAGTGTCAAACATTTTTGCTATCTAACGTGAATTTTGTGAAAATATTAATATTAATATTTATTAAAAGTAAGGGGGCAAATGTTGTAAACACAACTAAAAATTGTTTAATTCTTCTTTGTCAAATATAATTACGTTTTCTTCCTGCCATTGTATGGAATTGATTTTTCCCATCTATTTATCCAGATAATTATTTAACACTAAATTAGACATATATAACTACCAATACCTTTTCACTCCTAATGGATCGCAGCTCTTTTGGGTTTTTTTTATTAATGCATTGCAGGGTATTGTTGGTCAGGTAACCAACCAGGCGTATGAATCGTATTCACTTTATTGTGAATGATCTATCGGATCGATTATTCAAACCCTAGCCAGAAAATAAAATGGCTATAGTAGTAATTAAAATCTAAATCAATATGCTTTACTATACGCTGGTATAAGGGATAGGCCTTTAGATGAGTAGTATGGCAAGATATATATATATATATATATATATATATATATATATATATATATATATATATATATATATATATATATATATATCCATAAAGAGCAACGACTGTCAAACTCAATAAGCAGTGATAAAACTAGAATGGGGTTGGAAATCCCTTTCACACTGTAACTCTTGAAGATCTCAGTCAGATAGGAGGAAAAAAGAAACAAAGCATGATTTTACTATTCCATATGAAGGGTACAGGTCCATAAAGAGCTGTCACGAAATGTTTATTTCGTACAAAACGAAGTTTAAATTTTAAAACCAGTTATTGATGGTTATCATGAACCCTGTTGATTAGATCAGTTACTTGGGTAAGCAACGAGACACACACAAGAAATTAAAGTTATATTGATATAATGCAAAATAGAATATAAGCTTTAATTGGTCAAACCACCGAACATTATTGGCCTAAAGGGGCCAAGTAAAAAAAAACAAGTTCTAATGACAAGTAGGCAAGGGTTATTAATATGAAATAATTTTAATTCTTGGGCAGGTTATCAAATAATTGTTTTGCTTCCTCACCACAGAATCGTTTCAAATATTGTAGGCATTTAAATTTTTCAGCCGAGATTGGTACCTATAAAATTTAAAAATAATGTTTAATAATAGTATTCCAAGATATTAATACTTTTTGATACCTGAATAAGAATACGGAGGAAGTTCAAATTTATTTGGATATTTATCAAAATACCTAAGTAGTTAAGATTGTTGGTGTGTAAAATATTAATAAAAACACACATTAGCTAAGACTTTGACAGTTAGACTGTGAAGATAATAGGTATTAGGATCATAATTACTATACAAAATCTAAATTTTATGCCCATTAACAAATCAATATAAAGTGAAGTGACGTTGAATGTACAATTAAAATTAATAAAATAATAACAAAATAGTTGAATTTATAATTAATGTTTAAAATGGCATCCATCGACGTCAATGCATAATTTAGGTAATTTTTATAACCTATTTTCAACCTGTCGTTTAAACAACTATAAAAATATATTTCATTTTCTTTGCATATTCTGTAACTTTATTTTTATTTGTGCTAAGAGAATTATCTAATTTATATTATTATTACACGTTAATTTTTACGTTTTCGTATTAAAGGAAACAGTTCATTTAATAAGAAAAAAATCCAAGAGCTATATCGATTTTTTTTTCTTCAAAATTATCTTGAGTTATCAACACATTTGCCCCCTTGTTATTAAATTATTAAAACACTAAAATAATTGCAGACTAATAAATGTATTTAGTGCAATTGGTAGAGTTATTGTGAAGGCCAAACACCTGAAAGCATATAAATATCACACACCCACAAAATGTACTGAGGTTTAAGAAACATTAAATGCAAAATTCCATTCATCAAAAATACAGCTGAAAAAATGACATTATTATCGTGCAATAGTATGAACAACAAAAATATTCAATATTGCGTATTCCTTTCATGAACTCCTTTTCCAACTGTACCAGGATCCAATATTTTCTGTTTGGAACTAAACTGACGGAGAAGTTGGAATTGAAGTCCTATTTAACGCATTATTTAGAGAATTCGTAGTATATTCAGTATCTAACGGGTATCATAAAAATATCTTAAGTCGACAAATTGTGTGAATATGATAAAAATAAATTATATATATATATATATATATATATATATATATATATATATATATATATATATATATAATTATTTAATAAGTATGTCTGTAACAAAAGCTGAGATATTGGACTTACTAATGCATATAATTATGAAATTCAATATTACATTAAAGATTCTTTTGAGATGGTAAATAAATATAATGGTTATATACTACCATCAAATTATGTCCTCATTCGCCTTGACGTTGTATCCTTATTCAGCAACGTTCATCTAGGAATATGTTTTACATCAATAGAGATCAACTGGGACCGTATTAGAGGTTGTTGTTCCATGTCTTATGACAGATTCATCAGCATCGTCGAATTTCTCTTTAACAACACTTACTTCTCATTTAATGATAACTTCTATCAAGAAACTTTCGGTACCTCTATGAAAGCAAGGATTTCTCCTATCATTGCAACTTACGTTATGGATTATGTATTAGACTCAGTCATTCCTTTATTATCCTTTCAAATTGGATTTATTAAAAAATTTGTAGATGATATCATTTTGGCTATACCCAATGACAAGGTCGATGAACTATTAGATACTTTAAATAGTTATGATCCCTACATCGAGTTCACTATAGAGAGGGAAGATGGTAATTGGTCCGTCCCCTTTCTCGACATAAGGATGATCAGGGAAAACAACAACATTAAAATAGATTGGTATTAAAAACCGAACCATTTTGGTAGATACCGTAACTACCACTCTTACCATAATAATTCTACCAAAGTCAACTTAATCAAACAGATGAAAAATAGAGTAATAAAACTATCAGATCCTTCTTTTCATACAAAAAACCTACAAATCCTATAGAAACTTTTCATTTCAAACGCTTATCCAACACCATTAGTGAATAAGATTTTGTTTAACACTATCCATACCGAAGGTACTTCACCTTCCTTGGCGACTAACAATGCTGATCCTGATGTCTTAAGTGGGAACCCCGTCTCGGATACTGCTATCAACAAATATTTTTCATTACCATATTTCAGAGATATCACTCCGGGGTTAACAAGGATTCTGAAACGTGTTGAAAACAGCTTTGGTAATAATAATAACAACATTAAACTTAATGTGGCTTGTAGATCAGCCCTAACAATTAATAATCTTTATTCTAAGATAAGAGATAAGACTCCCATAGATAGGCTTAGTAACATTGTATACAACATTCCATGCCTCTCTTGCAGCAATTCCTACATCGGCCAAACATCTCAATTATTGAAATCACGTATTACACTACACAAAAGTGATTCTCGACTTAACCCTGACCGCTGTGCATTAGCCAAATATGTCCATTCCACTGGTCATCTTATGGACTATACTAACACTACAATTCTCCACCTTGAGAACAATAAATCTAAAAGAGAGTTTATTGAAATGTCTTATATTTTCCTTAACGATTTCTCCATCAATGTTAAGAGTGACATTAAAAATCTAAGCGATATATACTACTTCTTACTTAAATCAGATACCAAGAACAATACAACATCACAGATAACTAACTTGACTGATATATCCATTATATATCCACGTGATGACCAGTGGAATGGACATGTTTGGCTAATGCACAGCGGTCAGGGTGAAGTCGAGAATCACTTTTGTGTAGTGTAATACGTGATTTCAATAATTGAGATGTTTGGCCGATGTAGGAATTGTTGCAAGAGAGGCATGGAATGTTGTAGACAATATTACTAAGCCTATCTATGGGAGTTTTATCTTTTATCTTCGAATAAAGATTATTAATTTTTAGGGCTGATCTACAAGCCACATTAAGTTTAATGTTATTATTATTATTCCCAAAGCTATTTTCAAAACTTTTTTGAATCCTTGTTAACCCCGGAGTGATATCTCTGAAATAGGGTAATGAAAAATATTTATTGATAGGAGTATCCGAGACTGGGTTCCTACTTAAGACATCAGGATCAGCATTGTTAGTCACGATGGAAGGTGAAGTATCTTCGTTATGGATAGTGTTAAACAAAATCTTATTTACTAATGGTGTTGGATAAGAGTTTGAAATAAAAAGTTTCAGAAGGATTTGTAGGTTTTTTGTATGAAATGAAGGATCTGATAGTTTAATTACTCTATTTTTCATCTGTTTGATTAAGTTTACTTTGGTAGAGTTATTATGGTAAGAGTGGTAGTTAAGGTATCTACCAGAATGTGTCGATTTTTGATACCAATCTATTTTAATGTTGTTGTTTTCCCTAATCATCCTTATGTCGAGAAAGGGGACGGAACAATTACCATCTTCCCTCTCTATAGTGAACTAAATGTAGGGGTCATAACTATTAAAGGTGTCTAATAGTTCATCTACCCTGTCATTGGGTATAGCCAAAATTATATCATCAACATATTTTTTAATAAATGGAATTTGAAAGGATAGTAAAGGAATGACTGAGTCTAACACATAATCCATAACGTAAGTTGCAATGATAGGAGAAATCTTTGCTCCCATAGGGGTACCGAAAGTTTGTTGATAGAATTTACCATTAAAAGAGAAGTAAGTGTTATTAAAGAGAAATTCGACGATACTGATGAATCTGTTATAAGACATGGAACAACAACCTCTAATACGGTCCCAGTTGATCTCTATTGATGTCAAACATATTCCTAAATGAACGTTGCTGAATAAGGATACAACGTCAAGGCTAACGAGGACATAATTAGATGGTAATATGTAACCATTATATTTATTTACCATCTCAAAAGAATCTTTGATGTAATATTGAATTTCATAATTATATGCATTAGTAAGTATGTCTGTAACAAAAGCTGAGATATTTTCAGTGGGAGTTCCAATGGAAGCTACTATGGGACGAACCGATAGTGTTGGTTTATGGATTTTTGGTAAAGCATAAAACTTTGCAATATTCCCATTGTATGTTGTTAGTTTTTTCTTTGTGTTACGGTCAATCTCATTAGAAGAGGCTAAGGATGCGATTAATGTATTGCATTTCCTTTGTAGAGAAGAAGTGGGATTGGATGTAAGTGAAATGTAAGATTTATCATTCTCAATGAGAGAAGAACACAGTTGTAAGTAGTGAGTTTTAGAACATCCACGAAAGACAAATCTCAATAACTTTTTCCTGATGATGAAAATAAACATTTTCGAAAGCTTGAAACTTAGTTAAAAGGGTACACTTATTTCACCGCTGCATATACCAAAAAAAATATATATATATATATATATATATATATATATATATATATATATATATATATATATATATATATATATATAGAGTAAGAGAAAGAGAGAGAGAGAGAGAGAGAGAAAGATAGATAAAGAGAGAGATCTAAACCACGTGTCCCTTTCATTCATCTAGCTACACAGATGTTTGTTAAAAAATCAGTCTCGATACACAAAAGACGGAAAACCTCGTATAACTATACAGTTTTAATTAAAAAAGATCAGTTAATTTCCACATTTTCGACAGAGAAACCTTCGATATAAATTCAATTAAAATTTAAAAACCAAATTTTTTATCTATTCACACAATTCTTCGATATACACATACCTGTATACTGATCCAAGTACACTTTCATTAAAAAAACTTTACTATAATTTTGTTCTAAAAAATGTTAATAAATTTTGTTATTTTGGGTGACACTAAACAGTTTGGTTCATTAGCCCAAAAAATGCTCTACAACGGACAAAAACCAAATGATAAAACACCATAGCTATATAACAAAATTACAAACTGACGAAAAATTAGATCGAAAAGCGAGTGCGCGTGTGTGTTAAAAGAAGAGAGCGAGTTATGAGACGATTAGCTTTGTCACAATACCATCTTTTTACCTCTTTGAAACGAAATAATAGTTTCGCTCAACTCCTCTATCATATGTACTCGTCTTCCCTTGATACCCATAACTACAAAACCAAAATTATACTAATAACATATTTAAAAATATTCCACAAGGGAGTATCGAAAATTTATATTATTATTTCTTAACTACAAAAAATGCTCAAAGAATTTAATCTGTTCAAAAAATGAGTGTGCTGTGTAGCGTTTTCATTTTTCTAGCCATAACTGCCATAACGTCTAACTAGCCATAATTTTAAATTCCTATATATTTATTTCGTCTGTGTTTGATCTAGCTAAGAAGTACGTATTGCAAAAAAGAGGTTAGTCTTCGTAAATGGGTATATTTATTTAAAAAACCCTTAAAAGGGCTACATCAATAAAACAAACGTTTTCGGACCACACAGTCCATCATCAGGTTTTAAAATCGAAAAATTGCTAGGTCACAATGTCTGAGCCACCAAAATACTAGGGTAAAAACCCTTTAAATTACATTTAGTTATAAAAGATTATACATCGTGTTGTAAAATAACGGTGATGTTCAGTATTAACTTAAATTTGGCTACAGGCAACACATGGCTGAAACGAGTTCAAGAGCCGGTGAGAGAACCTCTACACACGGAGAACAGCTCCGTGTGTAGAGGTTCATTTGAACTTCATTTGAGCTTCATTTTAAAAGACAGAAAAATCCCAATACACTTAAAACGAAAAACCTCTGACACTTATGGCAGAACAATTAAGAGTAACTCAACGAGCCATGGAGAGGGCCATGTTAATTATAAGCCTGAGAGACAAAATTCCTAACACCGAAATACGTGGAAGAACTAAAGTAACCAACATCATCGGAAAAATAGCGACATTAAGATGACAATGGGTACATGTAGCAAGACACGACACCAACAGATGGTATCATAAAGTGACTTTCTGGAGACTTCGAGAAACAAAAAGAAACGTGGGAAGCCCAAAAAGAGATGGATAGACGATATAACAGCTGTAGCTGGAAAGCAGTGGATGAAAATTGCAAAAGATAGGAAGCGTGGAAGCAATTAAAGGAGGCCTATGTAAGATTTAAAACCCTTTCTTTTTCGTGCATTAATTATTTATTCGTGTGATGATTCAAATCAAGAGTTGTCTGACTTTAATTTAGATTAAATGCCTTTTAGCTATAGTCCAGTCAGAGAATGTTCCACATGGAATAACGTACCAACCAGAACACCATATGACGACCAATTGTAAAATAGTTTCGGTGATATGTAATCAGATTCTCAGTAAATACGTAAAATATAGTTTTATCTTAACGTTCAGTCAGACTAACCGATTATTCAAATTACATCGGTTAGGGATTTGATTCAAAATGTCTCTCAATGAATTTCGAGCATAAAATGAATTACTATTGTCCGTCCTTAAGTTGAACGGCCATTTTAATAAGGGGTTCACTGATGCTTTCCCATGATTTTAGTTGTTGCTTGAGTGTTTTGTGTACTATTATCGGGGCTCCTGCTTTTGCCTGGATGATTTATCTACCCCACTGTAACAAATATAGTTTTTTTATGTTTTTACAACCGTTTCCCTTGTTTTTGGTTTCCGATAGTATTGTCACGTCCAGTTTTCTTTGTTCGATTTACTTCAATACTTTTTGTTGCTTGTTTCTAATATTTTGGTGATAACTGTGCTCGCCACAATGGACAAACTCTATTGAGTTAATATGGGCTCAACCAAAAGGAAATATAAGAAGAAACGTGGCCCCTAAATTTTCGTCAGTCGTTTTTCGGTTGATTAGAAAAGTAGTAAAAAAATTACAGCAACAAGCTGGAATAATATAATACTTGATGCATCTAGATGTTACAGGACGTATCACCCGTTTTCTAGAAATTGATTGTCTACCAGCTTTTTTAAGATAAAATTAATGTTGGAGAACAATGACGTAGAAACCTTATTAATCCCTATTAAACCTAAATCATGATAATTTGTTATTTATTGCGGTAGCTAAGTGTCTGTCACATTACTAGTTTCTGGCTTAGCTTTTATCGTTTGTTTATAAAATCACGCGAGATCTACTTTGCCGTACTGCCAAAAACATATTGGTGACATTTAACCTATTAAATGATGATACTATAGAAGGACAAAGAAAAATTATTGAATATTCATTTGAAATAAACTATATTCCCCTTTGCGAAAATACCCTCAAAAGTTTATTTTTTTCGGGTGTATGAAACTTTGGAAAATGGTACTATTGTTTTATAATTTAAAAAATTGGGATGATTTAGATGCGAATGAAGTGACTGGCTAAGAATTTCGGATCATTGAACTGTAAATTCTTATTATCGTATAATTTTCGATACTCCCCCTTTATAAAACTTAATACTTAAATACTGAGCGCATTTCTTGAATTGTTATAGCGTAATGACAGATGTATGTTTAATTTTGTATAGATCATACTTAACTATTAGCCGTTCGTAATTACTAAGAAATAATATGTCTAATCAGATTAGACTAAGATACATCAAAAATGATTTTTTCAATAAAAAAATTTAATCGGGAACCTGGGAAACGTGCCAAGGAGAATCCAAACTTATGAAGTTGATTGCTTCATAAGTATTTTAAATTTTAAAGATATGTTCTAATAAACTTTAAACTTTGAACTAAAACAAGATTGTCTAAAGCAATGAAGATCATGAGACGTCGGTGTTCAACAGGCGTTTAAATAGTAAATACTGATTGAGAGTGATCTTTCGCAAGATTATGATGTACGTTATTTTAACGTAATTCGGAGCGTTATTTTGCGATTTGAAATCGAGCAGAATAATCCACTTAAAAGTATAGAGGTCTTAAATGTGCAACTATATCATGACAGAATCGATATATAATATGATAAGCTCACTAAAACGGGCATACACAACTACATACGAACTTCGTAGGGCCTTAGTATCTGTGTGGCCAAAATACGAGGAATTCACGATACTATTCTGAGTGGCAGAATTATAAGGAACTAGTGGATTATATGAAGATAATCATATTTTGGTATACAATAATGAAGTTCTGTATAACTCACAAATAAAGCTAGGTTTTGCCTCCAACTCTGATTAAAAAAAAATATGAGTTGAGAGAGTACCTAATCGAAGAGAGAAACTCAGACATCTACAGGGCGTTCGTCCTCATGGTCTACAAAATATGATTTAGACTGATATAATTGTTTATCTTTTCTCTATACGCTATTCTATTAGCGTTTTTATAGAAAAGTGTACAGCAATGTATAATAAGCCTATCTTTCTTATATTTGTAGATTATGAAAAGGCGTTCGATACTACAGATCATCATAAAATGCTTCGAGCATTGGCTGACTGCCGCATTGACTACCGATATATCGCCTTGATTAAAAGTATCTACGAAACTGGTACAGCTTGTGTCCACCTTCATGATGATACCAAGAAGTTTCGAATATAACGTGGAATTAGAAAGGGTGACAATATTTCCCCTAAATTGTTTACAGCTGTTTTTAAATATATGTTCAAGCAAATGGAACGAGAGGATAATATGGGAATTAATATTAATGGTGAAGATCTGAACCTCCTAAGATTTGCTGATCTGATAGAGTTGATAAAGCTACAAAAATGCTGCACAGGCTCTATAAAGTGTCAAAAATAATTGGTCTTAAAATTAACACCTCAAAGACAAAATTTATGACCAACCTTGTAGTCAGCGGTAAAATTCTGATTGAGAGCCATAGCATCGACTAAGTAATAGCTTACAAATATCTAGAGCATGAGATTCGCTTAGGCCGAGATAATCAGACAACTGAAAAACAAAGAAGGATAGGTCTCACAGGCCTTTGTTAGATTAAATAACATTTTCAAGTCTATTATCCCAGTTTGTTTAAAAAGAAAGGTTTTTAACCAGTGCGTTTTACCGGTTCTTACTTATGGTGCATAAACACTGACTATGACAAAAAGAACAATAGATAAAATAAGAGTTACACAACGCGCTATGGAAAGATCAATATTAGGTATTACCATCGATAAAGTACCAAGTCTAGAAATAAGAAGAAGAACAGGAGTCACAGATGCAGTTGAAAAAATAGCCAGGCTAAATGGCTAAGCATGGCCAAGCATATCGAAGCAGAGGACGACCACAGACTAGATGGACGGATGATATCAAGCGCATCACCACAAACTGAATGCAAGAAGCTCAAGATAGAAATAATAGGTGGAACATTTTACGGGAGGCTTACGTTCAGCAGTGGACAAATATAAGCTAATTGATGATGATAATGAATTGTTTATCATTGAACTGTTGCTGGAGCAAATTCAGATTATTAGAAATTTTGGGCATAGTTGGTTTAGATTTTCATGTTTTACAATGTTATGTTTTTATGTTTTACAATTAGTAAAATTAAATTGGTTCACTTTTAACGTGTGTTTTGTCTACTTTTTAAAATTCGGCTAAAATTAATGTATTACCTGCCATTTATACTATTTTCTAAGGATTTAAATTCTCCCAAGCGTAATGTTTGGGGTTTTCATGGGCAAAGTCATAACTAGCAATTCCCTACTACTACTACAGTTGAGCCGCTGAAAAGATGGAATGATCACGTGAATGGCAACTCACTCTTAAATATTCCTCTCCCTATCTTATTACTTTTCCCACGTTTACACCGCTCAACAAAAACGAACTAACACTCTCGCTATAATATATTTATACCGTTTTTTTACAGGCTATTGATTTACATTAACTTTTAAACATTTTATTGACTTTTGCATGTAGATTAAAATTCTACACTTCAGCGGAAGTGAAACACAAATGATGATACATAAAACATTTAAGTTATAGTATCATGACACAAATAATGACGGTGTAAACAGTTTCTCAGAAGGTCTAGTTTTGACCACCTGTCGATGCTTGCATTGAGTGATCATGCGACCTTGGATTCCATCTTTTAAGCGGCCAGGGTATTGTCTTCCCTGTTTGGATCGTATCTTGATTATCTGTTGTGAGATGAATCCACACACGGATCATGCAAACAAGATACGGTCGAAACAAAAAAAAAATTGATAAAAGACCAACATAGTTCAGCATTGCAATTTTGGACTGATTGGACCATAAATTCGAGAAAACATACACCTGCCACATATCAACTACACTAAACAGGTTCAAGAAATGAAGCCTACACATTTCAAACTATAACCTACAAATATTTAACAGTAAAGCCCTTCTGTCATGCTTTTTACATATAAAACAGATTATTTAAAAAACTTACCTTTTCCTGAATCGGCATTTCTGATAACGACCTCATCTTTACAGTATTTCTTACCAGGGATTCTAGTCGGTTTAGGAAATTTACCGGACGGTTTGATCACTTCACCAGGTCCCAATAGGGGCGGTGGTGAAGAAGTCATAGCAGAATGTAGAGATTCATTCAAACTAGATATCGATTCTGACATATCTACCTATAAAGCAACACAACAAAACAATTAAATTTAAGGAAATATATTATGTATTTAATTTAAATTGAGTTAATTGGAAGGAAAACACAGCAACGTTTCATAATTATGACTGCTACTGTCGCTGCCGGCAAATATATTATACAACACACCACTCTCTCCCTTCCACTTCATCCATCCCTCATTACTCTGTAATACCGCTCCTAGATACTTAAAACTATTACTTTTCACAATCATTCCACCATCCAAAGTTATCAGATCATTTGTAGTAACTCCACCTTTGAATGAACACTCCAAATACTTTGTTTTTGCTCGAATAAGTTTTAAACCTTTTTCTTCAAGAGCTTGCCTCCATTGTTCTAGTTTTTATTCTAAATCCCTTTCAGTATTTCCTACCAACACTAAATCATCATTAAGCACCACGCAATGTTAACCTGTTATCTGCCCTAACACTAATGATATTAATAAGGATTTACGCACTGAGCCCTATTGCAATTCTATTTTTAGATTAAATTCATCAGTCTCACTCACATCTACCCTAACACTATTGAGCGCCTACCACTGAACCTCTCGAGCAACTCTCATTTGTTTTCTTAAGATTAATGAATACCGTATGAGTATTTGTGTGTCATTCTTTCTGTATTTTTCCAATATTTTTCTTTGAAAATCTCCCAACTGATTTTCGGATACTTCTGTTTCTTCACGTATCCGTCTATCAACTACCCTCTCCCATATTTGTATGTTGTTAATAAGTAATTTTATGGCGCTGTAGTTTTTTGCATTGTTGTATATCTACTTTGTTTTTGTAAACAGATACTAATATATCGTTCGTTTAGTATTTACCCCAATTTCGTCGTGAATAGCTTTGGATAGACTGTGTCTCCTTGCCGTACTCCTCTCTGTATACAGAATTTATTGGTTTCTTGTTCAGATAGCTATAGCATTTTAATAGATATATTTAATTATGTTAGTGTAGCGATGGTCTATTCGAAATTCTGTCTATGCTTTTACCATTTTCTGATGGCTTATGGTATCGAATGCTTTCTCGTAGTCGACAAATATCAGTGCCAATGGTTTGTTGTATTCTGTAGACTTCTCTATTAGGTTTTGTATCACTAGTAAGTGGTCGTTAGTGCTGTATCCCGATCTAAATCCAGCTTGTTCTCTAGACCGATAGAAGTCTAATTTAGCGTCCTGTTTTTTTTTTGATAATTTTTGTGAAGTTTATATATATATATATATATATATATATATATATATATATATATATATATATATATATATGTGAAAGCAAACTGATAGAACGGTAAATTTTTATATTCAAATAACAATATTCAATATCAAATTAATCGTATATATTGGTATACGCTTCTGATGTAGCTTTTGCTACTGCTAGTTTCGCTTCCTTTTTGGCGACTTTATAGTTTGGAAGATCCGACCTATTTTCTTGCCACTCTTTATATAGTTTTCTCTTTTCCTTTATTTGTTCAACTTTGTTTGACCACCATCAAATTCTTTCCCAAGTTTTGTTTAAGTATTTCAATAGCAGGATCTCTAGTAAATATTCGTTATCTTTCTTTAAATTGTATTAGGACTTCCTTTCATGATCCAGCTCATTAAGCTACTATATCCCGCTCTTCTACTATTTTTGCTCGGAATAGACCTTCTTCACATCTTTTAATATCCATCATTTGATTTTTTATGGGTTTCTCTTACATTTTGGTTACATTTCGCTGTCCAGCACAAGTAACTTATTTAGGCTCACAGTCTCACTATTACCTTGCAGTCCTTACATTCACGTATATATTCTTTTCTTGTTAAGAAATAATCTATTTGGTAGTGATTTTGGCCACTTTATCTCATCTGTGCATTAGAATCACCTCCTATTATGCCTCTCTCTGATGAAATATGTATCTCTAATATCAAATAAATAATTTAATTAAAATGGAAATACTCATTAATAAAACGAAAATACTGCAGCAAATGACACGAAAATAATATGTAAAGGAAAAAAGTAGAAAGACTACCTAACAATTAATATTTTGACAGAGTAAGAAAGACATTAAGACGCTAAAATATCCAATATAGAATTGTCATAAAATTAATCTTATTACAAACAAAATGTGTTGTATATTAAATAAAACGATACTGACGAATCAAGAGAGAAAAAGTAAAAAAAAACGTTATTTTTAAAAATGGTTAATTCTGAAAAAAAAAACCAAAACTTAAGTCTGAAGAAACTCCATGACGTTGAAAAACTAAGAATTACAGGGATAGGGATACAATCAAGAACGATGATATCAAAATAAAACTTAAAAGAAACGACAAGATAAATTTTAGAGATGTGAGCAGATAAAAAAGGAAAAAAACCGAAGAGCTCACTCAAATTGGCGAAATATATCTGTACCCTTGGGTAAGTAACCTTATAAATAAACTCCTACTTGCCTGTGAACTTCCAAACTGATTAATCTTTTTCCTGTAATACATGTTCATTCCGTCGGTGCCCTTCCAGCCTTTGGCTCGTAGTTCGATCAGTTCGAGTAAGTGAAGCCTGGACAACATGTCGACTTGGATGTCGTCCTGGGCTTTATCGCGGAAAATCTTGAAAGCGTGGTCGAGTTGCTCTTTGTACAATATTTCTAGGTAAACACCGTAAACCTAAGAGATAGAAAATGTAAAGTTATTCGTATTTGTGATACATAAAAAATAAATGACAATATTATGATGATTTTAAGAAGTTTGAACGTGAATTTAAAAACTGAATATTGGTAAATGGTGAAAAATTTTACTTAGAACCTCTTACAAACTCTAAACATTCTGTAATATTCTGGCCGGGTTTAAGGATAAACCCCGCTTACGGCGTTATAATTAACTGGTATAATACATTGTACACGTCGTACCTTCGTACGTTATCGTCGTATTTCGACAGGTAAAAGCCTAGGTCATTTATGTTACGGTTTTATAAAAATAAACTTTATTTGTTAATTTTTAAATTGTTTATAAATGCGAGTGATAAACAAAATGTTGAATGACGGAAAATTAATAAATTTCAAATTTAATCCCAAAATTTATGAATAGAGCGTGTTTATTAAAGGTAGCGGGGGGTAGCGTTTATTTGTAATATTTTAAATATACTTTTAAGATATTTTTTTTTTTGAAAATTGTTTAATATAAAATTTACATTAGTACATTATAATACAACATTTCAAGAGTGTTATCTAAAATTTTGGTACAAAAATATTAAAAAATAAGAAATCAACTGGATCATCCATTGACAAAAAACCAAAAATATTTCATTAGCATATGAGTTTCCCTAGGTCGCAACGTCGATACCAGGAGGCCGATACCAGAGACCTAATTTTAGTAAATAAGGGAGTCATCTATGTGGTCAACCAATGGAAATATAGGGTTTAAGTTCTGGACACTAAAAGTATGGTGCAATTTGTTATGACACTGACAAAAAACTACATTAGAAAACAATACAACTCAGATTTTAGATTTAGAATTCGTAATTTCAGATTTAGAACTAGACCAGCCTATAGCATTTAAGTACAAGTTAGAATTCGGACATAGACATAAATAGAAAGTATAAAGAAAAGTTAAATTTTTTTACAGAAAATAATGAAAAATATAGCAAATTTTACATATATTTTTTTCAAAATTATTAATTTTAAATCGTTTAAACCTTTGAAGAACATTACTGATGTTTAAATGAAGTGAATTTGAAATGGGTAACGTTTCATTGCAATTAGGATAAAAACAGCAAGGGTAGTATTGTTGTTTTTATCGAGATGTGGCTTTAAGTAGATACATCAAAAAATATATTGAGAATGTCTCCATTAAAACTGACCGTTTTCCTGTTATTCTGTTTTTGAGTTTTATCTGTATTTGAGGAATATCGATTAAAAACAAGAAATTTTTTTTCAATTACGAATTATTCAAAAAGTATAGATTTTTCTAAAAAAAAAATAGTGTTTTTTGCTTAGAACACCTTTTGCTTTGAGGTTATTTTCAATATTAAGGTACCAACTCCATAGTTGGGGTGGATATCACCCGAAGGTAAAAGCACACTTCGGCATAGGGTAGATTTTGAAGTAAGGGTAAGTAAATAGATGTTAATTCCCCAATTTTATCAAAATCGATGGGTGTTGACGCAAATTGGAGGTTACCCCATATTTTGAACGTGGTACACTGGACTATATATATATATATATATATATTATATATATATATATATATATATATATATATATATATTATATATATATATATATATTGTAGTTTTGAGTTTCTTTGAACCGTATTATATTTAATATAAAATTAATATTTCTTGGGTTAGGTTCAATAAAGATATATTACATGTGGAACTAGATTTTATTTTCCATTGCAATTAATCAACGTTTCGGCAGGAAACCCTTGCCTTTGTCAAGATTCTAAAATGTGTATATATATAAGGACAAACAGATATTGTAAAATATGTATGTATATATGACTTACCAAAACGTAAAACGTGACACAGACATTAAACGAACTGACATATAAAAGTTGATATCTGATATCTCATTGTTTACTGTCATTAGTATATAATTATTTTTATATGGGCGTATCGTTGATGTTTTTGAAAAAGGTAAGGTGGAGATATATTATGACTTTAAGAGCTTTTTATGATGTTATATTGTTATTGTTTAAATCAGATTGAAATATATTTTATTTAGGTTTTGTGTATCTTTTTTGTCATTTATTGCGTTGGTGTTTCTTTTTATTTCTATTGATTCGTATACCTCCCTTTTCTTTTTGTTTTTTTCTGTTTTTAAAATTTTAATGTTTTCGTTAACGTTTAACGTTAACTCTACAGATGATTGGAATTCTTCCAATGGGATATTAGTGTATTCTTTTATGTCATTCCACTTCTTTTTAATGATGTCAGTGGCAAGTTTTATTGGGATGTTAGTGTATAGTGAAATGACATCTAAAGAGATTAATTTATAGTTATCCGGTACGTGAATGTTTTTAATTTTAGAAAGAAGATCGTTGGAATCTTTAATATAATAAGGATTTTTATTTATGACATTGGAGATAATGTTTTTCAAGAACTTTGAAAGATTTTCGAAGGGTGATTGAATGCAGGAAACGATAGGACGTAGAGGTATGTTTTCCTTGTGTGTTTTAGGTAAACCATAAATTTTTGGTGGAATAGCGTTGTGTATCTTAAGTGATTTTGCTGTATTTGGTGATATATATCCACTTTTGTCCCATCTGTCAATAAGAGCATTATTTCTTTTTTGGAAGATATTGGTAGGATCATTTCTAAGTTTATGATATATGGTGTCATCTTTTAAAAAGGAAAACATACCTCTACGTCCTATCGTTTCCTGCATTCAATCACCCTTCGAAAATCTTTCAAAGTTCTTGAAAAACATTATCTCCAATGTCATAAATAAAAATCCTTATTATATTAAAGATTCCAACGATCTTCTTTCTAAAATTAAAAACATTCACGTACCGGATAACTATAAATTAATCTCTTTAGATGTCATTTCACTATACACTAACATCCCAATAAAACTTGCCACTGACATCATTAAAAAGAAGTGGAATGACATAAAAGAATACACTAATATCCCATTGGAAGAATTCCAATCATCTGTAGAGTTAACGTTAAACTCAACATACTTTTTATATAAGGACGAAATATACCAACAAATGGATGGATTCGCAATGGGTGCAAGTATATCTAGTGTCATTGCCCAACTGGTTCTGGAAGACTTAGAAGAATCTGTCATGAGTCATTTAGATTTTAATGTACCATTCTTCTACCGCTATATCGATGACTGTGTCTGTGCTATTCCAACAAATAAAACAACCGAAATCTTAGATATTTTCAACAGTTACCATCCAAAATTAAAGTTCACTATAGAAATTGAACAAAATAATAAAATAAACTTTCTGGATATCACCTTACATCGCATTAACAATACAGTTAAAACCATGTGGTTTACAAAAGAAACATGGTCTTCACGATATCTTAACTACAATTCCCATCATCCATTTTCCCATAAGAAGTCTGTAATTATAAGTCTCGCTGATAAATCTATAAAACTAACAGATCCAGAATACAGACCAACTGCAATAAAAAAAGCAAAAAATGCTCTTCTAAAGAATGCATATCCCGAACATCTAATCGAAACTATTTTCAAATCAAGACTCAATAAATTTTATAACAATACAACTAACAACAAACCCAACAGTATCAAAACCACTTATACAACTCTTCCATATATAAAAGGTTTATCCGAACAACTAACAAATCTTTTAGCCAAGCATAATATAACAGTAGCCCACAAAGGCAACAACCTCTTAAATAAATACTTCACAAAACTTAAAACACAAACTCCAAAACTTAAAAAATCACATGTTGTCTACGAGATACCATGTACAAACTGTGAAGGTGTCTATATCGGTCAAACCAGTCAACTGCTTCAATCCAGAATTCGTTCTCACAAATACGACAAGAACAACGTCACTGCGCTCACAAAACATGAAAGCGGAAAGAAGCATAAATTTGACTTTGAAAACATTAAAATTTTAAAAACAGAAAAAAACAAAAAGAAAAGGGAGATATACGAATCAATAGAAATAAAAAGAAACACCAACGCAATAAATGACAAAAAAGATACACAAAACCTAAATAAAATATATTTCAATCTGATTTAAACAATAACAATATAACATCATAAAAAGCTCTTAAAGTCATAATATATCTCCACTTTACCTTTTTCAAAAACATCAACGATACGCCCATATAAAAATAATTATATACTAATGACAGTAAACAATGAGATATCAGATATCAACTTTTATATGTCAGTTCGTTTAATGTCTGTGTCACGTTTTACGTTTTGGTAAGTCATATATATATACATATTTTACAATATCTGTTTGTCCTTATATATATACACATTTTAGAATCTTGACAAAGGCAAGGGTTTCCTGCCGAAACGTTGATTAATTGCAATGGAAAATAAAATCTAGTTCCACATGTAATATATCTTTATTGAACCTAACCCAAGAAATATTAATTTTATATTATATATATATATATATATATATATATATATATATATATATATATATATATATATATTACCATTTAAAAAAAAAATTACAAAACAATTTTTATTTTAAAATAAAACGGGATTTTCAAGTCTATCCGGCTATAATAAATTTGTCAGGTTTAGTGATAAAGTGTTGATTTCGTTGCCTTATTTTAAGCCACTCAAAACGTCCTAATGAGTCGGAGATCACCCTTACTATAGTTTCAAAAATTTTGAAACATTATTTACATTTAATTTGTGTTTATAATATACATCTACATCTGATTGCCAATAATGGTGGCATTAAGAAAATGAATTGCAAGTCAAATATAATAGTTCTGAAGGCTTTCCTTCCTCCTTTAATAATATTTTGTCATATACAGGAACTGTATTCTAAAAATTTGAAATACATATTGTTCATTTGAAATTCTGAAAACACATCCTCATAGTATCGATCTGCTACTTTTAATTTAACATTTTTATTGTATGATTTAATGCAGCATTAACAAATTCCTTGTTTATTTTACACCAGACCATGGTTAAATAAATACAGCAGTCAAGGCTTGACAATGAAACTAACTAGGTCATGGTTAATAGGGAAGTAAGAACCTTGCCTACACTATTTTAATCAAGATCGTTTAATAATGCAAAAATACACAAAATAAAAGTTCTAAAAATATATACACCAGATTAAAAAAAATTAAAGAGAAGGTAATGACATACTTCATTAATTTTGACTATGCTAAAAAATTGACCTAGATCTTAATGGGAATACCAAGATTGTATGGTATAGTTAAGCATTAAAATAATTATCCGCTTTCCACAACATTCGCGATATCAAAATGCATAATGAGTACTAGTTATAATTGATTCGTATATTCTTTTATTATTAAGCAATGCTAACAGCAAAACGACAATTTTTGACTCTTAAAAGACCTTCTTTTTCTGGTGCACTCCATTACTAGAGGTTTGTCTACTTTAGTGAGGCACTCGTCCAAGCTCTAATATTGCAAAACCTTGACATTGTTCATCTGCCTATTTTTCTTCGGCCTTCTATCTTCCCTTCAATTATTATTCTTCATCATCATCATCTTTGGCTCGACAATCCTCTGTGGATCTTGGCCTGCTCTAAGATTCGTCGCCATTCTGTTCGGTTTCTGGCAACATGTTGTCATCTTCTGATTTTTAATATCCGTAAGTCGGTTTCAACTCCATCTAACCACCTAATTCGCGGTCGGCCTTTGCTTCTTCCTACAGGTGTTCCTGTGGTTAGCTTTTTAGCAATCGTATTTTCTGGCATTCGTATTATGTGTCCAGCCCATCTAAGTGGCTGTGTTTTAATGAACGTTATGACATCTGGCTCATCAAAGAGATGATACAATTCAAAATTATATCTTCTGCGCCACTGCCCTTGGTCGTTTATAGCTCCAAATATTTTGCAGAGTATTTGAAGCTCAAATATTCCCAAAAGTCTTTCATCTTTCTGCGTTAGAGTCCATGTTTCTGCTCCATATGTGAGGACCGGCCTCAACAATGTTTTATATATAATAATTTTAGTTCTTCTTTGAATGTTTCTTGAGTGGAGATGCTTTTGGAGTCCATAGTATGCCCTATTTGTAATATTTATTCGTCTTTTGATTTCTTCGCTTGTTTTATTGGTAGCAGTCAATAGCGACCCAAGGTATGTGAAGTTGTCAACACGTCCAAAGGTATGACTTCCAAAGACTGTTTCTCGTTCCTCATTTGCTAACGGATCCTTTGTAACCAACATGTACTTAGTTTTGTCTTCGTTGATGACTAGACCGACCTGTTTCGCCGCTGTTTCCAATTCTAGGAGATATTGCTCAACATCTCGCTTGCTACGCCCTATTATGTCAATGTCATCAGCATATGCTAAGACTTGTATCGATCTAAATTATTATTCTTAGCAAGTTATATTTGTCATTTCTCATTATATGGCTTAGGTGCAAAGTCTTTCTTTTCTTAATCGTTGTTATAAGTTCTAACTCTCTGTTAATAGTGTTTATTACTATTTGATTTATGTATTGTGTCCATGGCCCTCTAATCATTCTGCGACAAAGCAATGTTTTTTAAGCAGGAGGGTCAACAAAGATAGAGAATTGCTAACTGTTGAAAGACTGTTAAACATCGGAAAATGTCTCATCTGGTAAAATAGAAGGCCGTAGCGGTATAGGGAGAAAACAGGTTTCTTGGTTAAAAAACATTCGTGAATGGACTCAGATATCAAATGCAGGACAATTATTACATGTGATATAAAATCGAGAAGCCTTCGCAGTGGTGATCGCCAACGTCGGATAACTCTGATATGGCACATGAAGAAGAAAGATATTTTTGGAGTAAAATAAGTTTGTTAAGTAGAATTATTTTTTGAATTTCTGCATCTACGGCTCCTTATGTATATAATACAACTCTTAGATATGAAACTCTTTTTACTATTTAAATATCGCCCTTAATTTTAATTTAGTTCCCATCTCTCGCTGTACTCGCCCGTTTTTTGTCTTTCGTTTTTTATTATCTGATCTCCTTGGCCTTTCTTTCCAGTTGTGTATATATTTTTCTCCGCCTCCTCCGCTCCGAGAGATATCATGTTACCGCTATCGTCATAGACCACATGCTGAACTATTGTTTATCGCAGATTAGTTTTCTCGACATGCATCTGTCTTATGTCACCTAATTTGAACAGTTCAGTAAGAAGATTGTCGATTCCTGATTGAGAGTCCTATATCTTCATTTAGTCGCTTATTTTTGCTACTAACAAAAGTTATTCTTCTCTTCCTGCTTTCCTTTATGAAGTATTATCTTGCAGTGTGTCTTGCTCCCTGACATTAGATCTCTAAAAAAGATTTCTCCCACCGCTGCCTGCCAGAATTCAATGGATACCTTTGTGGGCTCTTAATGGAATATGGCAATTAAAAAGTTGCAATTAAAAAGATTATTCTTGGTAAGTTTCTTTCAACTATCGATGAAAACCTGCAATAAATCAATGAATCACCTTCCACTAAGGTATTATTTTTTAGTGGATAAAATAATAGGGGTTTTTTTAATTTAATAATCTATGTTGTAGGCAAGTACAATTGCTAAGGTTACCGATATGCCCACTGTGTCTGTGATGCAGATTCCAATGGAACCCTACAATACATTGAACCAACCCTCCAGTCAGGTAACATTTTTAATGATTACAAGTCTTTTTATTTTTAATTCGTAATATTTTCATATATTGGCAGTGAAATATTTTCAAGTAATGAAAATCTTATATTTGTCCCAGAAAAATCTGGATTTCTGCAGGATATTACTCAAGCTGCTAAAGGTCGATTCAAACACATCAGTCCCGTCACAGTCCCGGCGCCGAACCGGTCCTGTTTGGTCACAGAACTATTAATTATCTGACAGCTGGGAAACTGTTCGTCAACTGATGAATGTGAATGCCGGCGGCATATTTCTATTAAAGAATATTTTGTATGATGGATTGTTCGGTTCGACGCTGGGACTGTGACGAGACGTGACTGATGTGTTTGAATCGACCTTAATACTTCTCCTGTGTATATGATCAATGACTTTTTGGACTTAAATAATATTTCAGGGTCAAATCCTGAAAAAGACACCGAAAGTTACACAGACAATATTTCTCAAAAAAGTTTACCTGATGAATACTATGTTCAGAGCCATAATAAACATTCCTGTATAATTATTTAGCTGTATTTATAATTTCCTTGAAAAAGTTCTAAACAGCTATAGATTCTCCTCACATATTCTTTAATTAATAATTTTCTTTTACTTTATCTCAATACTTATCTCATCTTATTAATACTTATCTTAATCTCATACTTCTGTGCAATTTTATTATTTGTTAGTACATCATAAATATACAATTATACAAGCCCTACCAACTAAATGTTCGGACAAATTAAAGTTTATTGAAAACACTCATTTTCACAACATTGCTTATTATACCTTGTCACAATATTATACAATATTTTCATTTATTTTTCTGTCAGCACTGCAAAAATGTTTGTATAAACCAAGCCACTTCAATATTTTACTATGGCGAATGGATTTAGTGTCCGCAGTCATTTAAACACAAACAAACAACAACAAAAATATTTTACTATTAATAATATACTTTATTGTATTGTTGATCTCACTCTTTATTTCAATAACCAAGGTTGTGAAGATGAATGTTTTCAATAAATTTTCATTTGTCTGAACATTTAGTTGTTAGGGCTTTTATATTAGTAGGTAACCATTATTTTTTATGACATAAGCATATTACTTACTTATATTAAATGTTTATTCCAGAGACCAGAAATTTAAATAATTGTTCTTAGTCAGTTAATACCCTATATAAATTTATAAAAGTGAAATGTGATTCTCTAAACTTCAAATTTTAAGGTTAGTTCTAAGCTAGATAAAAATATGCATAAACATTGCTAAAAACTAAACAGTGGTTAATTACATGCTAATATTGCTTTATAAATCAGGTGATGTGTCTATTTCTGAAAGTTGTTGTCTGCGTTGAATATCTTTAAATTTTTGTCAGAAACTTTCACCTTTGCCTAAAACAGTACTGCTTTTGAAGATACTTCTTTAACTAGATATGAGTACATCTTCTTATTGTCTAATATTGATAGGTATCTAGAGTAAATAATCTACAGCGTAATAATATCATGACTTCTGTTTCTCAAATCTATATGACAAGATTGTCCTTTTGTATGCAAGAATATATTTAAATGATGTACCTACATCAGAGTTTCAAACAAATCACGCTACTTTACTATTTTTCTTACCTTTAAGTGTTGACACAAGTTAATGACACTGTCCTTGTAAGAGAGGTGACTATCTGCCAAGTTTGAAGATAATAAAGCTGCCACTTGATCAACAGCATGTAATACGTCTTCCACTGAAATTAATGCTAATATACTCAACAAATACGATAAGAGTATTAATTTTATTACCTGTAGATAGTACCCCATCCTGCCTTAACTTGTTCACTAGAAGTTGGGCCTGACTGTGGGATTTTGATAGTTCATGCTTTTTTGGGTGTTTCAAACGCGCAGAAAGGCTAGAGGACATTGTCGTTTTGATCGCTATCCCTAAAATAAATCATTAGACAACAACATTTTATTACGATTTATCTCAAAATATACAAAAGGATATTTGCGTGAGTCACCATAGTGACATCTGGTTTTAACCTCATTTATTTTGAGGCTATATAATGATCTTTTAGAAATGAAATTACTTGAATATAAAATGTACACTTACTTTAAAATTAGGATAGTCTTTTGAGCTTTGAGCAAAATCCAAAGTTATGGAAAATGTTAAATTCGCAACTCGCTCTTCGCGTTCGTATTCGTGTTCGTTTTCGATTATAGTCGTGTCGTGTCGTGGGTCGTGCCGTGGGCACAGGGGTGGCACAGGGCACAGCGCACAGCATTGACAGCATACAGCATACGGAAGTGTTGTTTTGTTGGTTGCAAAGCATTGCATCTTGTATTTGAATATTTTTTATTCCTGACTTTCTCACCAGAAGGTGAGAAAAATAACAATAAGTATTTATGTCTTCAGACCTTAGAAGTTAAAATATACATTTAAAATAATTTTAAGTTTAAAAATTACCGTGAATACTCATTTTTAGTAAAATAAAGTTAAGTTAAAATACAGTATTAAATTAATAAAAGTTACGGCAAAAACGTAATATGACTGACTTTCAAAGAATAATTTGTTAGATTTGGAATTTTTCCACAATATTTTATACTCGTTAGGGAATGGAAATTGAACACTACCACCCATAATAATTGACAGACTTAGGGAATATTCATTTGATGGTTAACATTTTTGGTAATTGTTTTAGAAAAAAAAAACTGGGTGAAGATCTGCCTATTAGAAGAAAATGAACCAGGAAATTTGTTTAAGAATTATCGTGTCTGTTGAAGGACATTTCGAATCAAAATGCTTTCTAAATGATATGCTTAATAGGCTACCACCAACTGCTGTTCCAACAATATTTCCTGGATTGATAGATGAAAGCCCATCAGACCACACTTACTGTGCATTTGCAGTAAAGGAAAAGTTTGGTAAGCACCTGATAATTTTTTTTAAGTTTCATTTTTCTACAAGTCACCTTATTTATGATACCCATTTGATTTTCTCCAGATATTAAAGTTAATAAAGACTTACTATCCACACAACCTTCGCTACATCACAAATTGTCATTCAAGAAGATATTATCAGGTTAGCACCCTACTGTAGGACTATAAACCAGCCAGCTCAAAGAAACAGGTTAATGCCTCGGAACAGGACTGAATCTACGACGATGACCAATGCGAGAAAAAGTACAACGAATTCATGGAAAACGAAAAACATACTCCGAATCGGTACTTGGAACGTAAAATCCTTGAACATCAGAGAACAAGAAATTACCAAAGAACTAACGGAGAAAAAAGGAAAGGGTCAAATTATGCTAGATAATTACTTGTTGATTTACCAGCGGCGTGGCAAAAGAAACCAGAGCTAAAGAAGGAGTAGCCCTACTTTTACACAAGAAATTCATTGACCAAATAAAGGATTGTAAATACATTTCACAAAGAACAGTTTACGTAAAACTCAAACTAAATGATAAGTCTCTACACATAATAGCCATTTATGCTCCAGAGAACAACAGAGACGCAGACACAAGAGAAAGCTTCTTCGAACACCTCCAAAACACGATAAATGAGGTCCCTAAAAATGAATTTATGATCGTTACGGGCGACTTTAATGCCCGTGTTGGCAACGACATCGTACCAGGGATAAAACAGCGTCATAACGAAGACATCAGAAATGAAAATGGAGTCTCCTCACGGACCTATGTAGCACGAATGAACTACGCATCAACAACACTTTTTTCCCTCATAAGGGGAATGGTCAAAGGTCAATGATAGACTACATCCTGACGAACAGGGTAATACATCCCTCTCAAGTATTGGACATAAGAGCACTAACATCTGCAGAAATAGGAAGCGACCATAAGCTTATACTTGGAAAAATCAGAATGACGACACGCATATGTAACAATAAAAACAATAAAAATAAAAAAGAAGAATACACCACAAAGGTAAAAGTCGAGAGTCTGCAGAACGAATCAACAAAACTTCTATACCAAAAGAGAGTCAAAGATAAACTCGACAACGTGCACATCGTAGAAAGTGATGGAATCGAAGAAAGCTGGGCGAAAATTAAAGCAAGCATCCTAGATTCAGCAAAAGAAGCTGTAGGAGAAAGGAAAATTCTTAAAAATAAATATTTCCAAAAGCGGAAAACTTTGTGGTTCTGCGCAGAAGTGAAAGAAAAATGCAAAGAAAAAAAGAAAGCTTACTTAAGATACATGTCTAACAAAACACCACAAGAATACAACAATTACAAAAAGATAAGAAACGAAACAATAGCACTAGTAAGAAAAATTAAAAACGAACACTGGGAACGCTTCTCAAAAGAAATGAAACACGACTTTTACGGTCTACAAAAGGAAATATGGCGTTTCATAAGAGGCCAAAGATCAGAGATGAAAGACTTAAACGAACCGAAACACATAGATAACGACACATGGATTGAATACCTAAAGAAGCTTTATAATGATGAACAGCAAATGATGTTAGAACCAAAAACACCAGAAATCATTACAAACGAGGATGTCGAGATAACCGTACAAGAAGTAAAACAAACTTTAGAAAAACTGAAGAACAGAAAAGCTGCAGGTAAAGATGGAATTCCAAATGAATTATTGAAATATGGTAGAGAAGCATAACAGCTAACAGCACTAATTAACAAAATCATCAAACATAATAAAATACCTGAAGAGTGGAAGAAAAGCGAGCTTATCCTACTATACAAAAAAGGAGATAAAAAACATCCTGAAAACTACAGAGGTATCAACTTATTAAACGCCACTTTGAAGCTTACAACCAAAACATTGCAAGGCCAAATAAATCAGAGAATTACCTTAGCGGATGAACAGCAGGGTTTTCGCACAGTAAGATCGTGCACAGATGCAGTATTCATCATAAAACAGATTACCGAGAAAGCACTAGAGTATAACAGACCAGCATTCATATGTCTAATAGACCTGAAGAAAGCGTTCGATAAAGTAAAGCTTAAAGATGTAATTCACCTTCTTTACGATAGAGAAATACCACTAAATGTTATAAAAACAATAGAGAACATTTACCAGAACAACAATATGGAAGTCAGAATAGATGCCCAGCTTACAGATCCAATAGATATGGGCAATGGAATACGACAAGGAGACTCGCTATTCAATCTAATCATGGATGAAATCATCAATACTATTAATAAAGGAAGAGGATACAAAATGGGGAACAAAGAAATCAGAATACTCTGCTATGCAGATGATGCGGCCCTAATTGCATCCAATGAAGACGATCTACAAAGACTAACCCATAGATTCAACACAAGGGCAAAGGACTTTAATATGGTGATCTCTACACAGAAAAGTAAAACAATAATTGTAATCAGTAAAGAACCAATTAGATGTAAACTGGAAATCGACGGTATCAGCATTAAGCAAGTAATGGAGACAAATTACCTAGGAATTACACTGTCTAGCTACGGAGATGTGGAGCAGGAAGTGAAAAATCAAGTACAAAAGGCTAATAAAATAGCAGGTTGTCTTAATAACACGATATGGCGCAATCCCCACATTAATACCGACGTGAAATTAAGAATCTACAAAGCAACAATAAGACCAATAATGACATACACTTCAGAGACAAGACCGGATACCTCCAAAACTCAGCAACTACTAGAAACAGCGGAGATGCGTTTACTGAGGAGAATTACAGGAAACACACTGAGGGATCAAATAAGGAGTGAAGAGAGCAGAAGAAAATGCAATATACCAGAAATAAATGAGTGGACACTGAACAGAAAAAAGGAATGGAACGAACACATAAACAGAATGGAAGAGACCCGATTAGTTAGAATAGCGAGGGACAAATCACCAAAAGGTAGAAGAAGTATCGGGCGACCACGCAAAAGATGGAGTGATAACCTCCAATAGAGGCATTAATCGACATTGAACAAGCATTTTGTTTATAAAAAAGAAGAAGAAGAAGATATTATCAAATATTATTGTAATTAAGAGAAGGTAATATATTTTTATCTACAGATATATTAATAATTTATAAACAATAATTATTATATTACATAATTACAACTATAATAATTATTGTTGATAAAACATTTGTTTTTTGGTTGTCATTTATATTTAATAATATTTTCAATTGTATTGTCAGTCGAAAAGAATATAATGTTTATACTTCTTTTGTTTAAATCACAGTTTTCCACAGCTGCAGCCTTCATCACCCCAACATCCTTCTACATAAAAAATTGTCATTCAAGAAGATATTATTGTAAGAGAAGGTATTATCACAGAATAAATAACAATCAGAATGCCCACTCTCAAATGCCGCCTTTGAAGTTTGTCAGCACGCGATCGCCATATTTTAAACGGAAACATAGACTAGAATTGAGAAATTTGTGACAAGCTACGACAGAACTGTAATTTAAATTTTTAGAGATTAAAAGTTTAGTACATTTGAAATAATTTAATCTATTCTTCAACTAAAAGTACGAATAAAATAGTGCATATTATGTCTATAGTTGGCGTAAATAAATTAAACAGGGTTAATGATTCTAGTTCTATGCACACCAGATAAAATCTCACTAAACAGCACTGGTTCCGTTTAAAACATGACTGATTGCGTCTGAGCAAACGAGATGCGCGTACTTATTTATTATTTCAAGTAGAGTGGGCAAATTGTTTATTATTCTGTGGTATTATGGAGAAGAATTTATGAACAATAATTGTTGAGAAAATATTTGTTTTTTGGTCGTCATTTATATTTAATTATTAATTTAATTAACATTAAAGATTTCTTGTTTCGATCGATTATATTGACAAAATATAATTTTAGTTATGTAGTAAATTAATATAAATTCTAGAAAATAATAAAGCCGTTTGAGCTCTGTGCTTTTATACTTCCAAGGCGGCATCGGAGAGTGTCCCTGCCGATTGGGTGGAGCAATGACAGTTATAGTATATGCACAGTATATGCGGTTAATTTAAATGAAAAGCGAAACATAAATCATTCGTCCATGAAGGTGATAGGATAATAATATACCGTATGATTTTCACACTGGTTTAAGCTATATGTAATAAGGTAGCGATAATGGACATCAAAAGTTAACTTTATATACAAATTAAATATTCATCGGCTTCATCTTTGGCTCGAAAATTCTCTGTGGATGCTGGCGTGCTCTAACATTAGTTGCCATTCTGTTAGGTTTCTGGCGACGTGTTGCCATCTTCTGATCTAT